GCCTTTTCAGCACCTTTCATTTCTAAGATGTCGGTTTTAACAAAAAGCTAAACAGCACACGCAACGCCACCCTGGTAGAATTAAACATGTTCAGAAGCAGTAACAATTTCTCCCTTCCAGTTCTGAGCATGCTCCTGCATGCGTTGATATATTCCAAAACTCTTGTTTTGATTTTTTGGAGTTTTTGTTGTGCAAAAGCTGTAAATATGAATTTCTTGAGTGCCCTAATGAGCTACAGTGTAATGAATGCAGAAGCGTGTCCTCTGAGGGGGGAAAAGAACTTGTGATGCTAGGTGAAATCATCATCATCAAAGCTACATAGAAACAAGAAGTAAAAAAAAAATAAAAACGAGTTCAAGTTGAAGAAAAAAAAAAAAGTCTAATTAAAACTTAATTTGCTTAATTTAAACTATAGAGGACAAACTCTAAAAACACTGTTATTGCAGTGACTTGAAGGGGTATTAGTTTGCTTTTTGTAAGTCGAGAACTTCAAAAACAGTGACAGATGTGACCCGACTTCCAAATAGGACAGCGCTGCTTTAGACGACGAGTCGGGAAAGGCAGTTGGTGTAAACATCACATTATGACCTTTTACAGTTTTCGTTTCACATTTAGTAAAAGTCAGCGTTGTATTTTTAAATCCTACTTATCTGGTGAACATACACACCAGCAGAGTAACACATATCAAGTGTCATTAGCTGATGTCTTTACTAAGATTAAAAAATATTTTACTTTTTCTCATTTTCTTTTAATTTTTATGTCCTGATCACAACTTTCGTCAAAAACACAAACACAGACTATTGTTACTTTTAGGTTATTGCACACAAACTGGACCACAACGTGACAGTTTTCCTCTCCGGACAGATTTCAGTATAGACAAAACTGCTTAAATTGTGTTATTACAATTAATTAAAGCAGATTAGCTCCCCAAAGTCACTATCAATTTGGTTGATAATTCATGACTGAATATGTGCAGGTGTGAAGACGAGGAGACGCAGATGTTTGTCACCGACAAGAGGAGGACAAGTGGAGACCTTCCTCCTGTTTGCTAAGTCTCTAATTTGTAGCTGCAACCAGAGCAGCAAATTAACACCAACCACACGATGACAGGCATAATTTTTGCACTAACGATTGGTAACGAGCACAGATCAAGCCTATGACGGCGTTATTACCGTTATATCTGAGTTGCTGGGAAACGATTTGATTTGAGCACTTTATGACAGCGCTCCGTCAAACCAAGCACTCAGAAATTGTGATAAAAAAAAAAAACCTGAAACATGTGAGTCAAACCTGCAAACACAACAAAAGCAGAGGCTCTTTACTCAGCAGGAAGCAAACAGCAAGCTGAAGCAAGCTGGCCTGATCTCAGCTCTGTTTCTAACCACAGGGGCCAACAGAGAGCCCCGCTTCCAGCAACAAACCACACACAATGAGTTCTGTTAAAAACAAAACTGATTTTTATTTTTTTTTTTGTCTCCCTCCACTTGATATCATTTTTAACTCGACTTCATGGATTTTGAAAAAAAAAAAAAAAAAAAAAGAAAGGAAAAAAAAAAGAAATACACCGAAAAAAAAAAAAAAGTCAAAAGAAGACAAGTTCAGCAACGAAACAAATCAAAAAGAAGTACAATCATCGTTTCACAGCACTGAACATCTGTCAGGGTGGAAGACAAATGTTTTGTTCCTTTCATTCTGTCTCGTGTGTTTGCGCTGATAAGATCTCGCGGAAAATGTAACAAATGCCTGTAATCCAGGTGTGTGTGTGTGTGTTGTTGTGAACGAACCCGACAACCTGCCCTCTGGAGCTCAGAGAACACAAACACAGATGCAGACATACTGCTGGCATGCGAGGCCCCCTTGAATTACTCATCGTGGATGAACGTAGACACTTGGGTACTCATATACACACACTATTTGTATCAGCGACTGCAGAGTGAGGCGAACCTGGAGCACTGAGGGGGTGGGAGGGCATTTCTACTGGTTATCTCCCCACAAAAAAAAAAGAAATGGGGGACAAGCGAGGAGAAGAAGGAGACGAAGAAAGATGGGTTCCACATTCGACACTAACCTAAGCCGGCTCATTCCCGCAATTATACACGGTGAGTTTCTTCTGGTGAAAATTTCTTATTACGTTTCCAAATGAGACATTTTCCATTACTCTGCTGCGAGGGCTCCTGCAGTCTGAGCTCTGTTATCCCTCCTCTTGAGGGCACACAGCACCTGACAAACCCCTATCATACATCCAGTCACGTATCCCAGCCTCCAGTTACACGAGGTGTGCAAGGTGCATCGGCAACTTCTCCCCCCCTCACAGCCTGGCGCTCCTGCTGTCTCATAACTGCGATATAAGTCGGCGCAAGGAAGAAAAAAAAAACACCAGTTGGTGCTGTCACTTGTGAAAGAAATCCAAGTTTCCCCTGTCAGTTCTCACCATCACAACCAATATTTACCCCTTTGGTTTGACTGACAGGGAAAATGCCAGGCGTGGGATTGTAATTCAGACAGGGCCAAGTAATGGGACTCTTTCTACGTTTGGAAGATGTGAGGTGGGCGACTTAATGACTAGGGGAGACGTGGTGGGCGAGATGCCTCCATTGTGTCGCATGGTCCGCGCGAACGTGTGCTGCTGCTGCTGCTCAGCTGGTGGAGTTCAGCGTGCTGTTAATTAGCCAGACGCTCCTGTTCTTAGAGGGGTGAGTGATTGACAAGACACCATCTGTGGTCGCAGTGAGGGAAGAGAGGGCGAGGCCGGTCGGCGGCTTTGTGGCCCCGACATCTCTTCCGCGAGCTGAGGTTTTAAATATGTACAGAACACCTGAACTCGACGACTTGCACAGAGAATCCATTTGAATATTATCTATCTATCTATCTATCTATCTATCTATCTATCTATCTATCTATCTATCTATCTATCTATCTATCTATCTATCTATCTATGTAACTAAAGTGCTCGCGACATGCTCACGTGGGGACACTCTCCCTGTCACAATACTGTCTAGCATGCTGTATACCAATGCGCTCATTAGCCGTGGTAATGGAAAAGCACTGGGCCTTAATAGACTTGCAACGTTGACTTTGCCCACGAGAACGGAATGAGCCTGTATAGTCGGTAAACAATGGCTAATTAGGATAATATATGGGAATTAGGCGTGCTTTGCAGTAAAGGACATGAGCTGGGGATTTAGAACCACCATAATAATTCATATGTAATTGTCACGCAGCCTTTTGGTGTACCGACTCCACGCCTGCAATTTGCCCCCGTTATCAAATTACAATCTGTTACATATAACTTATTATTATTTTATTGCACGCTCACACCTTGTGTATTTTACATCCACATATGTGCCTCTAGATAGCTGCTGACACCGGCGACGGCAAAATCTCCAGGTTACATGTCTGTCATTACTAATAAAAACGCTCCAAACAAACTGCACAAAAAAACCCACACATGAATCATTTATGGTTACGATATGTCGCAGAAACAAACAACAAACACCGGCCCGGATTGGCTTGGAAAGAGAAAAAGACACGCTTAATTATTCATTCGCTGGATCTGAACCGTGGTTCTGAACATATAGTTTACTGAGCTGACGTTACAGCTTGCCCAAATAGTTTCGGAGAGGGGCTTAAAATCAATGCGCAATTAGGAGTGTCTTGTATCAGGCATGATGAATTATGCTCTCTGTTCTAAGGCTGGTCTATAGACACTTGATCAATTCAGCTTCTGGGGACTGGGTAAGGCAGGCCAGGGAGAAATTGCTCTATTCCAAAGCCATTCAGTCGAATGTATTGATTAACCATTGCATTCTGAATTGAAAGTCTGTCCGGGATTTGTTCTAT